CTAAATTTATGAGTATGGATTCCTTGTTACTACGTTCATCAGTATCGATTTCTTGTAACTACGTTCGTTAGTATGGATTTCTTGTTACTACGTTCGTTAGTATGGATTTCTTTTAACTACGTTCATTATTAAGGAGTTCTTGTTACTACGTTCGTTAGTATGGAGTTCTTGTTACTACATTCATTGGTATGGATTTTTTGTAATAACGTTTATTAGTGTGGATTCCTTGTAACTACGCTCATCAATATGGATATCTTGTAACTACGTTCATTAGTATGGATTCCTTGTAACTACGCTCATCAGTGTGGATATCTTGTTACTACGTTCATTAGTATGGAGTTCTTGTTTTACTACGTTCATTAATATTGATTCCTTGTTACTACGTTCGTTAGTATGGATGTCTTGTTACTACGTCCACTAGTATGGATTTCTTGTTACTACGTCCACTAGTATGGATTTCTTGTTACTACGTCCACTAGTATGGAGTTCTTGTTACTACGTCCACTAGTATGGAGTTCTTGTTTTACTACGTTCATTAATATTGATTCCTTGTTACTACGTCCACTAGTATGGATTTCTTGTTACTACGTCCACTAGTATGGATTTCTTGTTACTACGTTCATTTGTATGGATTTCTTGTTACTACGTCCACTAGTATGGATTCCTTGTTATTACCTTCATTAGTGTGGATTCCTTGTTAATACGCTCGTTAGTATGGAGTTCTTGTTACTACGTTCATTAGTATGGATTTCTTGTAACTACGTTCATTAATATTGATTCCTTGTAACTACGTTCATTAGTATGGATTCCTTGTTACTACATTCATTAGTATGGATTCCTTGTTACTACGTTCATTAGTATGGATTTCTTGTTATACTTGGTTCACTTTGAGGTTGCTAGGTTACCTGGATTTGACATACATATATAGATTTACAAGGTGGATGTCGATGACAAAGTTGAAGACCCTAATAGTTCAGTACACACACACACACACCTGCCCCCTTTCCTAGGGAAGATATGGTGCATACAGTTTTCTTTCCCTATCTAGGATGAAAAAAAAAAAGAGTTAATTTCATAAACCTGTAAAGATTTTTATTTTTCCCTACCTTGGTAAAATTTGAGTTGTCCTTCCGTACTGTGGAAACACTAACAAAAATGAATGTGAACCAGTGGTGTGGGTCAGGGGAAAAAACAATGGACATTCTAATGACATTTAACATTTTATTTAAAAAGGAAGTACAGACATGAATATTATAGAAGACACAATGTTGCTGCTCTACCTATGATGTTAATGATAGGAAATGAAACCATTTTATAAACATGATAAGGAAATAGAAACAGAAAGTTTTCCTCCAATTTTAATTTTTTCTGAAGATATACTTTCAGGCATACTGTTAGGTCTTCAAATCTGTTAGTACATTACCACATGTAATCCAAATAACATAATTACATACTAATATAACAGGTTTTTTTCAAATTATTTGAAAAGTGTGTGTGTAAAATGAGTGATGATGAGGGTATGACAGTGATTAGATAGCACTACTGTATAACACACAAAGCTTGTGGTACAATACAAACGTTAACATCACACGGAGTATTCTTTAATGTGTACATAACAAACCATATAAAACAAGTAGTTTGCATTTAAAATGTTCACAAGTTGAGCTATGCATTGATTTTTCAGCATTGATGGTTCGTAACCATAAATTTTAAATGAAGACATTAAATTACTTGTTATAATTTTTTGTTCTAGAATAAATACTCTTTCAGTCTTAGTGGTTCATAACCATAAACTTCAACTCCAGTAATCAATCATTTTTTTCAACAAACATTCATTGGTTTAGAACCACAATCGTCAATCCAATAATTAGATTATTTTCAACAATTAAAATAATTATAACTCGTATGTTTTTTATAAGCTCTGTTGTACTAAGATTTCCATGAAGTGCTCGAAGTACGCTTACTTTGCACAGTTAACCTGTGATTTGTGTTGGAGTTATCTCCCTTACAATTTGTTTTCGGTGTGGACCTCTATTCTCTACCTCTTTGTATAAAAAACTGTCCTACACGGATGATGGTACACCAAAGGGAGATAACTATCCTACATATACAAATACTGACTTTCAATTTGGAAACTGCATTTTTTCTAAATACTGGTAAGGAGTGGGCATGTAAACAAATTTTAGAGTTCAAACTGTCTGGTACCTTGTTGGCTGCTGTTCATAAACATGAGGTCATTTGATGGTTTCATTGTGATATGTGTTAACATTAAATTGTCATTTTGATAGATTTTAAAAATCTACTGCAAAAATACAGTGGATAGGTGACTTCGCCTTAGGGAAATACAGTATCTAGGAACTCTGCTACCCTTATAATTACATTCACATTGTCAGTATCAAGTTTTATCAAAGTCCAGGGAAGAAGGTCGGAGAAAGAGTTAACCATTAGGAAAGTATGGGAGATTTAGAAATTCTACTTGGAGTTTAGAAATAAGGATCAGAGTCTTACCATCAAAATTCTATACCTTTGGGTAGGATTCAGACATATTCCTCTACATATAATATATTCCATTATGAAAGTATGAAAGATTGTGATGTCACAGTAAGACAGCATGTTTATTTTTACATAATTATATGAAAACTCTAGCACTCAGATCTTTGGATAAAATAATTGTAAACATGAAGCACACATCATGCTTAGCATGGAATGTAAGCTAGACACACTGATCAAGTGGGTATGTCTTAAATCCTGATGCGAGCCATTTTAACCCTTTCACCACTGTAGACCATAATGGACTCATCCATATCAATGCATGGTAGAGTACACTAAAGTTACACAGGGGTGAAAGGGTTAACTCAAAGGATAGAATCCACAGCAGACTCAAGGCATGAATCACATCAGGGATGGATTCTGTTTCCTGCATACCATTTAAAATCCACCAAAATCAGTTGTTTTGCTGTAGTCTATAAATAAACAAGGTGTGTATGAATTGGTGAGAGAAAGTGAAAAGGCCTGACACAAGACAACATAATGCCTTGAAAGGGAGAAAACTTGCCACTTACACCTGCAAGTACTAACAATATCACCCATTTTAAAGTGTCCACCTTCGGTTGTGGAAAGAGCAGACAAGATTGAACAAAGCACAAGCTACTTCTCTTAAAGAAAAGTAGTTCCATTACAAGCAATCCAGGACCCTATGGGTTGGACATATTTTTCCAGCACTGCCGGAAATGAATCTGTGTGTAATTAAGAAACGTACACTATGCATGTAGATTTTGGTTGTACAGAGTCTGGCAAGGAAGCATGACTGAATACATCAATATCATTTGTGTAAAAAAACGGAATTGGTAACGTTTTTGCACCATGTTGCCAAAATCAAATGCAAGAAGGATACTCACAAAATATTGATAAACCAGTGAACAGAATCATGTAGATCCCTTTTATACACTGATCTGGTTGTCCTAATATCCAGCTAGTGTCGGGAACAGGTTTCGTTTTTTCTGCTACATCAAAAATCTAGCCATTTTACAATCCACTCGCTTTTAGCAGGGAAAAGGGGGCTTGATTGATTAGGCTCCAATGTAAACAATAGTTTTACTGGTACACTGAAGTGTAGCTCACAGGAACCGTTCACTTTTACTCTTAACTATCATATTATACACCATATTGTAACTCCCCAGTCCGGGTGCACACTTCAAATGAAATGGGATGAGTATGTACAATATGTATTAATCCACAAATAGAATGCTTATCAAAACAAGACAAAAATATGAAAATTGCACAATGATTTCAAACAAGCCAGAAATGCGTCCTAGGTTTTATAAATTAAAAAAACATTTTAGATTTTTCAAATACACCAAATATTTCTATATCATTTTTACCCGTGAAACAGTAGTTTAATGGTGAAAACACTGGCATTAATCAAAGGGCATAGGTTTGTTAAAGAAAATGATTTAATTGTTTTGTTTTTTAACTGATGATACAGAAATCACATTTAAGACAGGTGGTTATATACCTCCTGGTTCTAGCACTTGTATAGTATTGAAGCACTTTGTGTCATAGCAAATTATTACATAATCCAGAGATAATCAGTTGTCATCTTGCATTGTAGATAAATAAATAAATAAATAAATGTCCATGTACAGGTGCTTAATCAGAAGCTAACAGTGAAAACATTCATGTAACAACCAGACGAGGCTAGTTCTGTTCAGGACAATATACATACACATACGCAACATATAACTTTCAAAAGGTTAGGAAACCGTAAAACATAGTAAATGTCAATCTCATTAAAGCTACAACAAAGGGTGCTGATTATGTCTCTGGGACACAGACAAACTAGGTCGGTGGAATGGTGCCAGCCTTTTGCATGTTGAGAAATTTCCGCTCCTGTGTGATAAGGATCACTTTTTGAAGTTAAGTGATCACCTGTCTTCCTACCACTCATTATCTCTTATTCCACCACAATCAAAGCTAAAAGTGCATCATCAATATCATATTTCAGATCCAACAGGTGTAAATTTTAAATATTTATTAGACACAAAAGAAGTCAACCCATCCCTGTATCTACTTTAATCAATAACCTTCATATTTCATATTATGTAAGAATTTACTAGGACTTTTTACATTTTTCTTGGGAAAAAAAGTTAGAGAATTTGTTCAGATATTTATTTTTATGTATCTAAATGTGTCATGGTTACATGACACTTGTTCTCAGGAGCGTCTACTCATTGTTTCTGTAAGGGATCAAGATATGTTCAAATCAGTTGATGCACAACCTCCATGAATAGATCCTATGTACAGACAGTTATTAAACTTTTAATTTGTTCACCCCTGAAGACACATTTGGACTCCTCCACTTCAAAGGTTGGAATAGTCCATTATAAAATTTCAGGGTTGAATGAGTTAATAAACCAGTTTAACAGCCATCCCTGCCCTAACCTTACTCATTATACTGAACAATACTTGCACTAGGTTAGCTGATACCTAAGTACAATACCTTTGTGAAGTTGTTGTGTCATGTGTCATGTTGTGTGTGTATGTGAACAGAATTGTCCTAAAGAAAATATAATTTTTCTAATTTGACTGAAGGTCTTGACCTTTGGGTATGACACATTTGAGAGTTAAACAAGGGCCAAGATTTTGTGTCTGGCAAACAAGAGTAAAAGTGTTTGAAATTAAATAAAATTGGTTACCTATTTTTTTTCTGCCAATAATAGATCTCTGGATCTTTTTGTAATTTTTACGGACCAGTGGTTACTTTCTTGTTAAAAAACAATATTGCATATGTTTCGTAAATTACAAACAAGTTTTACAACTTGTGTTTGCTTCCGTGAGTTATGTCCCTTGTTAACATTGACAGTCCAGATGAGTTGCGTCCCTCGTTTTGTGCATCCCACAGTAAGGATTGTTACGGCCCTTGTTTTTTCCCCCCACCCTTCACATGAGTTATATCCCTCGTTTATGTTGGTTGTCTCCACTTTACACCCGCAGTCCCGAGTTGGGTCCTCCCAGCACTTCGTATCTCACTTCTTTAGACCGGCAGAACAGCACACAGCTGGAAATCATCCCCAACACCTGTAACCAGACAAAATCAAATGTCAACACCTGTTACAGGGCAAAATCAAATGTCAACACCTGTTACAGGGCAAAATCAAATGTCAACACCTGTTACAGGGCAAAATCAAATGTCAACACCTGTTACAGGGCAAAATCAAATGTCAACACCTGTTACAGGGCAAAATCAAATGTCCACACCTGTTACAGGGCAAAATCAAATGTCAACACCTGTTACAGGGCAAAATCAAATGTCAACACCTGTTACAGGGAAAAATCAAATGTCAACATCTGTATGAGGGCAAAATCATATAACAAAACAAAATCATATATAAACCTGTTACAGGGCAAAATAACACTGTAAATATCTGTATTAGGAAAATGTCACATTTCAACATATGTAACAAGACTAAGTCATGTTGTCATTATTGTAATACTAAAATTGATTGATAACACTGGTATCAGCACAAACAAGAGTACCGTGCGGCGGAACAAAATACGCCCGTCGAATGCAATATAGTGTTATATACTTTCTTACATTGAAATAAGATCTGCATCATTCTAAGATTGGTAAGTTGATTAACTATAAACAAGAGGCAAATGGGCCTTAACGGTCACCTGAGTCCTACAGTATTTATTTTTGTTGTTGAAATATGTACCAATTTGAGTAAAAAATTGTTAAGCATAACATTAACTTAAGTTTGTCAGGACCATGAGCTGATCATTCCTAGACCGATTTTCAGTTAGATCGGCCTATTAGAACTTTGAAATAGGTATTTTCAAAATGGCATCCGTGGCGGCCATATTGGATTTCTGATTGACCCGAAAAATAACAACACTTTGTCAGGACCATGAGTCGATCATTCCTACAAAGTTTCAGTTCAATCCGCCTAGCATAACTTGACTTTAAGTTTGAAATAGTTTTTCAAAATGGCGACCGTGGCAGCCATATTGGATTTCTGATTGACCCGAAAAATAACAACACTTTGGCAGGACCATGAGTCGATCATTCCTACAAAGTTTCAGTTCGATCAGCCTAGCAGAACTTGACTTTAAGTCTGAAATAGTTTTTAAAAATAGCGGCTGTGGTGGCCATATTGGATTTCTGATCGACCCGCAAAATAACAACACTTTGTCAGGACCATGAGTCGATCATTCCTACAAAGCTAAAGCTCAGGTGACCTAAAAATGTAGGAGAAAATCTTCGGACAAAAAATCAAATACTGAAATGAACAAAGGGCAATATATTTTGCAAAAATTGTTGAATCAAAATTCTTTTAAGGGAGACACAATTTCATATCATGATTATACAGTATACCAAGTTTCAAAGAGATCGGTCGAAATGTAGGACGAGATCTCCAGACAAAAATCAAATACTGAAATGAACAAAGGGCAATAACTTTTGGAAAATTTGTCAAACTAAAATTCTATTTAGGGAGACACAACTTTATATCATGATTATAATGTNGATCAGCCTAGCAGAACTTGACTTTAAGTCTGAAATAGTTTTTAAAAATAGCGGCCGTGGTGGCCATATTGGATTTCTGATCGACCCGGAAAATAACAACACTTTGTCAGGACCATGAGTCGATCATTCCTACAAAGCTAAAGCTCAGGTGACCTAAAAATGTAGGAGAAAATCTTCGGACAAAAAATCAAATACTGAAATGAACAAAGGGCAATATATTTTGCAAAAATTGTTGAATCAAAATTCTTTTAAGGGAGACACAATTTCATATCATGATTATACAGTATACCAAGTTTCAAAGAGATCGGTCGAAATGTAGGACGAGATCTCCAGACAAAAATCAAATACTGAAATGAACAAAGGGCAATAACTTTTGGAAAATTTGTCAAATCAAAATTCTATTTAGGGAGACACAACTTTATATCATGATTATAATGTATAACAAGTTTCAAAGAGATCGGTTGAAAAATGTAGGAGGAGATTGCCGGACAAAAATCAAATACTGAAATGAACAAAGGGCAATAACTTTTGAAAAAATTGTCAAATCAAAATTCTATTTAGGGAGACACAACTTTATATCATGATTATAATGTATAACAAGTTTCAAAGAGATCGGTTGAAAAATGTAGGAGGAGATTGCCGGACAAAAATCAAATACTGAAATGAACAAAGGGCAATAACTTTTGAAAAAATTGTCAAATCAAAATTCTTTTTAGAGAGACACAACTTCATATCATGATTATTAAGTAAACCAAGTTTCAAAGAGATCGGTTGAAAAATGTAGGAGGAGATTGCCGGACAAAAATCAAATACTGAAATGACCAAAGGGCAATAACTTTTGCAAAAATTGTCGAATCAAAATTCTATTTAGGGAGACACAACTTTATATCATGATTATAATGTATACCAGATCGGTCGAAAAATGTAGGAGGAGATTGCTGGACAAACAAAGTTTACGCCGGACGGACGGACATAGCCATACCATAATACTACCGCCAAATTTGACGGTCATATAAAAACACGATTTCAATACCTTTATCATGACAAAAACACATTGTCAACAGTTACAGGATAAAGTTGCATGGTCAACAAAATGTAACAGGACAAAATGACTATCAACACATGTATCAGAAAAAATCTCAAGTCGACACATGTATCAGTACACATCATGTCAACACAGTCAAATTATCAACACCTGTCAGGGATATAAGTTACCTGGACAACATAAAAACACATGATCAACACCTGTCAGGGATATAAGTTACCTGGACAACATAAAAAGACATTATCAACACCTGTCAGGGATATAAGTTACCTGGACAACATAAAAACAAATAATCAACACATGTCAGGGATATAAGTTACCTGGACAACATAAAAAAACATTATCAACACCTGTCAGGGATATAAGTTACCTGGACAACATAAAAACAAATAATCAACACATGTCAGGGATATAAGTTACCTGGACAACATAAAAATACATTATCAACACCTGTCAGGGATATAAGTTACCTGGACAACATAAAAACACATTGTCAACACCTGTCAGGGATACAAGTTACCTGGACAACATAAAAACACATTATCAACGCCTGTCAGGGATATAAGTTACCTGGACAACATAAAAACACATTATCAACAACTGTCAGGGATATAAGTTACCTGGACAACATAAAAACAAATAATCAACACATGTCAGGGATATAAGTTACCTGGACAACATAAAAATACATTATCAACACCTGTCAGGGATATAAGTTACCTGGACAACATAAAAAAACATTATCAACACCTGTCAGGGATATAAGTTACCTGGACAACATAAAAACAAATAATCAACACATGTCAGGGATATAAGTTACCTGGACAACATAAAAACAAATAATCAACACATGTCAGGGATATAAGTTACCTGGACAACATAAAAAGACATTATCAACACCTGTCAGGGATATAAGTTACCTGGACAACATAAAAACAAATAATCAACACATGTCAGGGATATAAGTTACCTGGACAACATAAAAATACATTATCAACACCTGTCAGGGATATAAGTTACCTGGACAACATAAAAAGACATTATCAACACCTGTCAGGGATATAAGTTACCTGGACAACATAAAAACACATTGTCAACACCTGTCAGGGATACAAGTTACCTGGACAACATAAAAAGACATTATCAACACCTGTCAGGGATATAAGTTACCTGGACAACATAAAAAGACATTATCAACACCTGTCAGGGATATAAGTTACCTGGACAACATAAAAATACATTATCAACACCTGTCAGGGATATAAGTTACCTGGACAACATAAAAACAAATAATCAACACATGTCAGGGATATAAGTTACCTGGACAACATAAAAACACATGATCAACACCTGTCAGGGATATAAGTTACCTGGACAACATAAAAACACACTGTCACCAATAAACTGTTACCATATAAAGACACTTTGTCTGGGAACAAAAGTTACCTGGATTACAGCAAAGGCCACAGCAATCCCTGCGATGTATCTCAGGTTTGTCACGAACTTATCATTCAGCTCAGGCAGACAGGCCTACAATTACAACATCACACCATGATGTACACAAGAAAGCTGATGGAATAAGACAAATCAAATGACGACAAAATAATATTTTTATCGCATTTCCCTCTAGTAATCAGACTTCCCTAAGTTCAGATTTCTCACAAGTGTTTCAAATTCTCTTAAGTTATCATATTTCTCTAATGAGATTAAATTTGGTTATTAATATATATACCATCAATGTTCTAATAAAGTGTTGGGGTTGTATGCAAATCTCCACACAGATTTACCGTACTCACAGGAAGAATTGGACTGGTATGCAATTATCCACCAGTTTTAGTTCAACACTTTTAATATTGCTCTAGAAAAATATCATGGGTAGCTAAAGATGTTTTTCCCACATAACTAATTTGTTCCGTCATGTTGGACATTGGCTCTCCATTCTACTTGGCTTTCACTTTAAGTATTAGAGTTCAAACTGCTGGTGTTTCTTCTTATTTGACATAGTTAATCCAGACCTGTATACAGCGTTAGTATATTAAGTGTTACTTGGTGATCCTGTTTGATCTCCACATGACCCAATGATTTGAAATCATCCTCTTTAGAAAGTATTCAGTTCATGTATTTATGTAATGGATATAAGAAACTTTGATTGGTAGTTTCTTTAGCTTTTTATGCTTACAAACCCTTTATTTGTTTCTTGCAGTCAGACAGTTTTTGTAGTCTTGTCCGTGCTATTAGTAGCTGTTTCCTGGTAGACAGCCCCCTTTATTTGTTTCTTGCAGTCAGACTGTTTTTGAGGTCTTGGCCGTGCTATTAGTAGCTGTATCCTGGTAGACAGCACCCTTTATTTGTTTCTTGCAGTCAGACAGTTTTTGTAGTTTTGGCCGTGCTATTAGTAGCTGTTTCCTGGTAGACAGCACACTTTATTTGTTTCTTGCAGTCAGACTGTTTTTGAGGTCTTGGCCGTGCTCTTAGTAGCTGTTTCCTGGTAGACAGCAACCTTTATTCGTTTCTTGCAGTCAGACAGGTTTTGTAGTTTTGGCCGTGCTATTAGTAGCTGTTTCCTGGTAGACAGCCCCCTTTATTTGTTTCTTGCAGTCAGACAGTTTGGGTAGTCTTGACCGCGCTATTAGTAGCTGTTTCCTGGTAGACAGCAACCTTTATTTGTTTCTTGCAGTCAGACAGTTTGGGTAGTCTTGACCGCGCTATTAGTAGCTGTTTCCTGGTAGACAGCAACCTTTATTCGTTTCTTGCAGTCAGACAGGTTTTGTAGTTTTGGCCGTGCTATTAGTAGCTGTTTCCTGCTAGAGAGCACCCTTTATTTGTTTCTTGCAGTCAGACAGCTTGTGTAGTCTTGGCCGTGCTATTAGTAGCTGTTTCCTGGGAGACAGCACACTTTATTTGTTTCTTGCAGTCAGACTGTTTTTGAGGTCTTGGCCGTGCTACTAGTAGCTGTTTCCTGGTAGACAGCACCCTTTATTTGTTTCTTGAAGTCAGACAGTTTGTGTAGTCTTGTCCGTGCTATTTGTAGCTGTTTCCCGGTAGACAGCACCCTTTATTTGTTTCTTGCAGCCGTGCTATTAGTAGCTGTTTCCTGGTAGACAGCCCCCTTTATTTGTTTCTTGCAGTCAGACAGTTTGTGTAGTCTTGTCCGTGCTATTTGTAGCTGTTTCCCGATAGACAGCACCATTGAAATAGCATCAAAAGGATCTTACAACAACGACGATCTTTGGAATGTGTCGGTAATGTTAATGTTCCAAGTATTTTATTATAATAATTACCTTCTTGTAAATGTCAGTTCCGTTGATGCTCTGGGTACAGTTGTTCTGATCTATACAGCAGCTGACAGGCACCTTGCCGGGGTGAGAGAGGGACCACACCTTGGCGGTCTCCCAGTCCGAGGCATTGTTTACACCACAGCACTTCAGCTAAACAAATCAACACTCAGCCATTATCTGACACTGTCTTGGACATGTGTTTATACATACAGAAATAATGGGTTTTCTTTACTTTTACTTTCAAATACCATTGGCCATTTCTATTTCTCAATATTATAAACTCCAGAAAGATAGCATCACTCACAATACCACACCCCCTCCCCCCCTGCCCCCCAAGAGTGAAATTATTTTAGTAACAATGTCCTTTTGGCCTCTGTCTTGATCGTTGACTGATCCAGACCAAAGTTGAACTTGTCTAAGGTATGCAGAAGGAAAACATATCTTAGACCTTTAACATATTCAAAATTCTTTACAAATATCGTCGCTACAATGTTGGCAAAGAGCGTGACTGAAAATTGGTAAGTCAAAGGTCGACATATTTCTGACATTGAGTGAGATGATTTAACTATATAATGACTTCACCTTTCACCAATATGGTCCATACTCAAACTTGTTCAAGATGGATATATACACAGCAACTTACCAGTGAAAATTCATCAAAAATTCGTCAAGAAATTAAAACAGGCAGTATGAGTAATGTAAGTGTGACAGTGAAATCTATTTTTAGTAGCAGTGACATTGACCTTTGATTGAACACACCCACATTCTATGTCATTTAAGATTATGGTATTCAATGCATTAAAATTGGGTAATACCCGACATACCTCTTCCTGGAGGTACTCCATCTGATGATCACTTGAAGTTCCATTGAACTTATTAATGGCCTGGTTCAGACCATCACGAACCGATCCCTCCATCTGTCAACAAATGTAGCTTTCTATACAGGTTGTACACACTACAATAATCAGCTAACAGAATCCACCAACAAGTCAATTCAATCTGATTAAAATTATATCCTACATTATCCTAACGTGATATGTAGAGAATGTAGGATATGATTTTAATCAGATTGCAAGTCAATTATCTTTGCAATATTTAATAAGACATCTTTGATAAAGGAAAATTCCTATTTCTTGTTTTCTTTGCAAATTTACAGTCTTGTAAATGAAGTTGTTTGAAGCATATTCATAAGTACATTGTAATTGAGAACAGGATAGTGATTTATAGTCAAACTTACGTCATCTCTGAAAGCATAGCCCAAGGAACCTGCAGCTATTTCTGCTGTGAGGATCACCAAGAGAATAGAAAACAACTGCAACGAAATCAAATAATTTCAATGATTCTCAGTTTTTATTCTTATACTAATTTTTAATATCATTTTCAACAACCCTTTTATCTCTGGATGAATCTATGTAAATGTAGCAAAAGCATAGGACACATATCTGGTTTATATGTCAATTTTAACAACGTTTTGTTAAATTGGTTAGAAAGTTATTTTTTTGAAAAGATGAGCGACTCTTCTGAAGTCTATTATCAGACTATTTTCCTTTGCATCATTATAATGAATTTTTTTGCAGGATCAGAGAAAAATAATAAAGACAAAGTAATTCAACAAGAAAGTCATTTTCATTAATATTGAAACCAGCTGAAATGTACAAAAAAAACCCACATATCTATAATGGGATTAACTCAGCAATTACTCATCTTGATATTTTTTCAATTCCTTTATAATTAGACAGAATCATTTTTAGCGACGACTTACAACAGCAAGAAGACATTTGTTCTCTTTCACAGATGAGGCACAAGCCAGTAGTCCAACAATGAACATGAATATCCCCACTGTCAACACAATGGAAGCTGGGATAAGGGTCAGGTTGGCCGATGTCAGTTCATTAAAGTGCTTATACGTCTCAAACACCCATCCTCCAACGAAAAAAAGACCTGCTGCTGCACCCTGAAATCACATAATCAAATGTTTCAATTTAGAACTTGTATACTTGCTCGACATAGTACGCAGCCAGAACCATTAACAAAAACCTATAAAATATGTTGTTTAAATGTTGGCAGGACCATCTTTTGTTTAATGTTATTTAGTCTGAATTGACCCATATATAACATAACTGGTGTCTGATCCCCTGTGTAGATATCGGTGATACCTGTGAATTTTGATTGATATCCCAATACAGGCATAACACTCAAGATTTCAGCTGTCATACATATACATACAGTAACTACCCTTTTATTACATTTTGGATATTTTTTACAAGTAACTGAAGCACAACTGGATGAAGGTATAAACATGTAGCTCAGCTGGCTAGAATGACAGTATTATATTTGGGGTTAAGGGTTTGAATGTTGGTCAGGCTCCATTGTATTTTTACACTCAGAAATCTGTCATTGTTATTGACAATATTTTTGTTATCTTCATTTATTTATTTATTTATAAAAAAATCCATAAGATATGGGTTTTCTTGTCAAAAATGAATTATCAGTGCTAAAGTATAAAAATAATTATAACAATAATACTACTAATATTTTAAGAGATCACTTTTTAGGATCGTACGTATCTTCCGAAAGGTCCTCTACAAATGTAGATGTACATATATATATACAAGAGGCCCAAGAGGGCCTGTATCGCTCACCTGAATATTTAAGCAGTCATAGCAAAATATTCTCATTAAATATTATATTGCACTAAAAATATTTCCCTCGCAAACTTTGTTGGCTCCATCTGTTGAAACTACCAGCAAAATATTATAATAAGATTCTATGCTTTTTGATTCTTCTTCAGAAGTTGCTTGACATATTTTTCCCTGTGATCTTGTAAGTAGGTCAATGTCATTTTCCTTCTCAAATTGGTTAGCTCTATTCCAAAAAGCTACCAGCCAAATCTTATGAATCCATTCCTTTTAGTTCTCAAGAACAAATCCATTAAAATGTTGTTGACCTCTGTGACCTCTAAAGTAGGTTGAGGTCATTTTCATTTGCAAACTTTGGTGAGCTCTATCCCGGGAAGTCACCAGCCAAATATTATAATTTTATGCCTTTTAATTCTTCAGAAGAAGCTGTTTGAACTGTTTGACATATTTGAACGCTGTGACCTTGAAAGTAGGTCAAGGTCATTTTCATTCGCAAACTTTGTTTGGCTCTTTCCCAGGAAGCCACCTGCCAAATATTAAGATTTTATAACTACCAGTTCTTCAGAAGAAGTCGTTTAAAGTGTTTGACATATCTGCCTCATGTGACCTTAAAAGAAGGTCAAGGTCATTTTCATTCTCAAACTTTGTTCGGCTCTTTCCTAGGAAGCTACAAGCCAAATATAGAGATTATATACCTTTCAGTTCTTCAGAAGAAGTCGTTTGAAGTGTCTGACACATTTGACTCCTGTGACCTTGAAAGAAGGTCAAGGTCATTTTCATTCTCAAACTTTGTCGGGCTCTATCCAAGGAAGCCATCAATCAAAAATAAAGATTCTATACCTTTCAGTTCTTCAGAAGAAGTCATTTGAAGCTTTTGACATATATGACCCCTGTGACCTTGAAAGTAGGTCAAACTAGTTTTCATTCTCAAACTTTGTTGGGCTCTATCCCAGGAAGCCACCAGCCAAATATAAAGATTATATACCTTTCAGTTCTTCAGAAGAAGTCGTTTGAAGTGTTTGACACATTTGACCCCTGTGACCTTGAAAGAAGGTCAAGGTAATTTTCATTCTCAAACTTTGTTGGGCTCCATCCAAGGAAGCCATCAGCCAAATATGAAGATTCTATACCTTTTAATTCTTCAGAAGAAGTCGTTTGAAGTTTTTGACATATTTGACCCCTGTGACCTTGAAAGTAGGTCAAACTAATTTTCATTCTCAAACTTTGTTGGTCTCTATCCCAGGAAGCCACCAGCCAAATATAAAGATTATATACCTTTCAGTTCTTCAGAAGAAGTCGTTTGAAGTGTTTGACACATTTGACCCCTGTGACCTTGAAAGAAGGTCAAGGTAATTTTCATTCTCAAACTTTGTTGGGCTCCATCCAAGGAAGCCATCAGCCAAATATGAAGATTCTATACCTTTTAATTCTTCAGAAGAAGTCGTTTGAAGTTTTTGACATATTTGACCCCTGTGACCTTGAAAGTAGGTCAAACTAATTTTCATTCTCAAACTTTGTTGGTCTCTATCCCAGGAAGCCACCAGCCAAATATAAAGATTCTATACCTTTCAGTTCTTCAGAAGAAGTCGTTTGAAGTGTTTGACACATTTGACCCCTGTGACCTTGAAAGAAGGTCAAGGTAATTTTCATTCTCAAACTTTGTTGGGCTCCATCCAAGGAAGCCATCAGCCAAATATGAAGATTCTATACCTTTTAGTTCTTTAGAAGAAGTCGTTTGAAGTTTTTGACATATTTGACCCCTGTGACCTTGAAAACAGGTCAAGGTCATTTTCGTTCTCAAACTTTGTAGGGCTCCTACCAACGAAGCTTTCAGCCAAATATCATGACTCAAGGCCTGTCCGTTCTTCAGAAGAAGTTGTTTAAATGAAAAGTTGACGGACGAGGACGGACGGACGGACGACGGACGCCGCGCCACGGCATAAGCTCACTTGGCACTTCGTGCCAGGTGAGCTAATAATAGAACAATGAAGTCAGAAAAACAACAGGTATTTATACATGGTACAATATTACAATACAAAAGAGTATCAAATATTTATAACAAAATCTAAAGAAAGTATTTCTTATATAAAGGGAAAATCAACAGCAATATTAACGTATATATATTGACTTTTGAAAAGTTTTAGAGTCTTTGATAATTTTATTAGTCATGACAGAAACATAGTTTCCAAAGCAAAGTTATAGTTTTTTGGCAGTGGTACGTATACTTTGAACAGAGCGGCCAGAGCCAAAAACACTAAACTTGACAGCCCACTGCTGTATCAGTTGAATAAATTAAACACTAAACTTGACATCCCACTGCTGTGATCAGTTGAATAAATTGTATTAAAACTTATCCAAGCATGAAGCCTACTAAAGTGACAGTGATCATATACATATGTATACAATCCATATTTACCACACTTTCACGTTACTATCTATCATTTTATCTTTAAAGGATTGTTGTCAGACTTTTTTGGGAATGCATTTGGGTGTTGTGTTGAGTGTACTCCTATAACATAAAAGGCAGCAGCTGGCCATGCTTGACCTTTTTTCTATCGGATATATGCTGATTTTGCCGTTACGCGGCGCCTGTCAAAAGTATCCCGCTGTGTAAACCTCTAACACTGTTGGAGTAGTGTTGGGTGATGACTCTGTTTCCATGTGAGTCAGCACTAATTGTTAAATGCTATCATTTATGTTTTGTGAAAAGTTTAATTTAATGATAGATTTCTGGTACAGGATTTTGTACATTCGCCTTCTAGCTTCACACTAGAGGGAAATTCTCTTCAGCTCAGTGGTAGAACATCTGACTTACAAGGAAGTCCGGGAACGAAGGTTTGATCCCCGGTGGAAGCACACTATTCTCTTTCCTGTTACTACCTAGTACAGTTTATTAATTAATATTAATGATCATGACATGCACAAAAAGTGCTCTCATTTACAGGCCATCAATATATGTTGCTGAAGAAGAACCACTTACATGAAAACTATAAGAACCACTCACATTTAAACGAAGAAAAAGATATATTATTTAACATTACTCATGCACGTACAGCCACTGAACCGCGGTGCTAGGCCTACTGTACAGTAGCCTAGTTGGTGTATTGTATCTGTAATCACGAACTTTTCAGGGCTACTAACGAACAATAAAGAAAAACAAATGTAATTTTAACAGTAACCGTACTTACCCAAAATATCAAACCTATGAAAACTAGGCATAATTTTGACGGAACCGTACATCCTGAAGACATTTTCGATGTTTTAGTCGACTCTTTTTCAGTCTATCGTACTCCGTTCTCCTTCAATGACAGTTCGTCATGTGATGTCAGGTATTGTACTCTCTAAGCTATTTTTGTGGATTATTCACAAATAAACATATTTTATACGTGATCTCACTTTAAACTTTCAATAAAATTATAAATTTTATAATTTACTGACAGAATATCACTTTCGTTAATATTTTATTTATATTATATGTTTTAAAGAGTATCATACAAAATATTTTTTATGAATGGCAAATATAAACGAAACGAAACTTCGGTGTAAGAAAACAGAATGTTAAGGATCCCCGTACACTTGTAACTATACTTTGTATTTTTATCTAATAAAAGCATATGAATAGAAGTGCGGACTGCATTGTTTAATAATTATAATAATTAAATAAACAAAACAGTATGTTATATGAAAATGATAGGAGAAATGTGACAGTTAGACCAGACTTGGATTAGAAACCTCCAAACTCGAAACGGTTGCTCGAACCAAGCGAGTTCCTGGTCAACGGGTTTCACTTTGCCCAAACGTGCTACAGTTGTACCCTAAGCGGTAAATTGTAAAAATTGTAAATTCAACTATACAACTCTTTTGTGCAACGTGCATGAAAAATGCAAGAAGACCAGATGTTCCTGAAGGGTCAGCGTCTTCTGCTTCATCGATATCAAATTCAGGTGTCGATTTAGCCAATACAACCCAATACTACCCAATGCAACCCAATACTACCCAAAACAAACCAATACTACCCAATACTACCCAATACTACCAATACTACCCAATACTACCCAGTACAACCCAATACTACCCAATACAACCCAATACTACACAATACTAACCAATACAACCCAATACTACCCAAAACTACCCAATACTACCCAATACAACCAAATACTACCCAATACTACCCAATCCAACCCAATACTACACAATCCTACCCAATACAACCCAATACTACCAAATACTCCCCAATACAACCCAATCCTACCCAAGACAAGTATCGATTTACCCAATACAACCCAATACTTCCCAATACACGTGTCGATTTACCCAATACAACCCAATCCTGCCCAATGCAAGTGTCGATTTACCCAATACTATCAAATACTACCCAATACAAGTGTCGATTTACCCAATACTATCCAATACTACAAGTGTCTATTTACCCAATACAACCCAATCCTACCCAATACAAGTATCGATTTACCCAATACAACCCAATATAAGTGTCGATTTACCCAATACAACCCAATACTGCCCAATGCAAGTGTCGATTTACCCAATACTATCAAATACTACCCAATACAAGTGTCGATTTACCCAATACTATCCAATACTACAAGTGTCTATTTACCCAATACAACCCAATACTTCCCGATACACGTGTCGATTTACCCAATACAACCCAATGCTACCCAATACAAGTGTCGATTTACCCAATACTATCCAATACTACCCAATACACGTGTCGATTTACCCAATACAACCCAATACCACCCAATACAAGTGTCGATTTACCCAATACTATCCAATACTACTCAATACAAGTGTCGATTTACCCAATACAACCCAAAACTACCCAATACAAGTGTCGATTTACCCAATACAACCCAATACTACCCAATACAAGTGTCGATTTACCCAATACAACCCAATACTACCCAATACAAGTGTCGATTTACCCAATACAACCCAATAC